GAATTTTCAAACCTAAAGCCTATACCATTACCACCCTTGATACTACCCCACCTACCACTGAGCCTAGCACTTACCGCCAAGCCTCTGGTAATAGTTTTTGGTGTCAGGCTATGGATGAGGAGTTTATTGCTTTGAATGAGCAACATACATGGGACTTGGTTCCACCACCCAAGAACCGCACTCCGATTGGTTGCAAATGGGTGTATCGCATTAAACGGAATGCTGATGGATCTGTTTCAAGGTATAAGGCTCGTCTTGTCGCAAAAGGTTATCATGAGGAGTATGACATTGATTACAAGGAGACATTCAGTCTTGTGGTCAAGCAACAAACAGTGCGCCTGGTCCTCTCTTTAGCACTCAACCGTGATTGGCTTCTTCATCAACTAGATGTTAGCAATGCCTTTCTTCACGGTACAGTGGACAAGGAAATTTATATGGAGCAGCCCCCGGGGTACATAAATCCCACTCATCCTCACTATGTTTGCAAGCTCCGCAAATCACTATATGGTCTCAAACAGGCACCCCGTGCATGGTACACACGTCTCTCCTCTTTTTTGCAGGGCCTTGGATTCAAGTGCTGCATTCATGATACCAGCTTGTTCACCAGACACTGCTCTCGTGGGACTATTGTTATCCTTGTCTATGTTGATGATATTGTTCTCACTGCAGCTCTTCTACTCTCATCTCAGAAGTTACTCAGGCCATGCACCGTGACTTCAAGCTCAAAGAACTTGGACCTATTCATTACTTCATTGGCATTGAGGTTCAGCGCACGCAAGATTCTATACTTCTCCATCAATCCAAATATGCCCGTGATCTTCTACGCCGAGCTGGGATGTCCGACTGTCATCCGGCTATTACTCCTATGGCTACGAGACCTATCACTAAGCCTTCGTTGCCTTTCAAGGATATTTCTCATTTTCGGAGCATTGTTGGCGGTTTACATTACTTGGCTGTCACTCGTCCAGACATTCAGTATGCTGTTAATCGAGTGTCTCAGACTATGCACAACCCCACTGAGCANGGACCTCTTCATTACTTCCTTGGCATTGAGGTTCAGCGCACGCAAGATTCTATACTTCTCCATCAATCCAAATATGCCCGTGATCTTCTACGCCGAGCTGGGATGTCCGACTGTCATCCGGCTATTACTCCTATGGCTACGAGACCTATCACTAAGCCTTCGTTGCCTTTCAAGGATATTTCTCATTTTCGGAGCATTGTTGGCGGTTTACATTACTTGGCTGTCACTCGTCCAGACATTCAGTATGCTGTTAATCGAGTGTCTCAGACTATACACAACCCCACTGAGCAGGACTATCATGCCTTGCAACGCGTTCTGCGCTATCTCAAAGGCACTTTGAATCATGGTCTTCTTTTTCGCAAGGGGGGATTCGACCTATCTGTCTACTCTGACTCTGCTGGGCCAATGATAAAGATGATCGCAAGTCTACCACGGGCTACATACTCCGACTCGGTCCTAATATCATCTCTTGGTGCACGAAAAAGCAGACTCGTGTTTCTAGATCATCCACTGAAGCTGAATATCGAGCTATGGCTGCAGGGGTTGCAGAAGCTATGTGGCTTCGATATATCACTGATGCACTAGGTATTCCTCCGTCCAAACCGAAGTTATACTGTGACAATGAGTCGACTATCTGTGTCACCAAAAATCCGGTTCTTCATGATCGCATGAAGCATGTGGGCACAGACTGTCACTTTGTACGAGATGAGGTTATGGCAGGCGCTATGACTCCACATCATGTTTCCTCCTCAGAGCAGCTAGCAGACATTCTTACCAAACCACTTCCGCCAGTTCGTTTTGAGTACTTATGTTCCAAGCTGCCCCTCGTCTCCGTTGATCAGCTTGCGGGGGGATATTAGGAAGTATAATTAAATTAGGATACTTCTTTCCTTTCCCACTAGGATTATTCTTTCCTTTCCTACTTGTACTTTGATTACTGTTGTATTCCCTATATATAGGGTCATATCTCTCAATATTCAATAAGACAAGTTATTATCAAATTGTATCAAATTCAACCAAACAAAACCCACCCTAAAATTAAACCACCCTTATTAGAGATTGAGATATATATATATATATATATATATATATATATATATATATATACACACACACACACACAACACACACACACATTGTGGATAATATAGTGGATGATGTACAAATATTTAAAGTTATGATTCTTATAAGAACTTCCTTGCAAAAGAATTAATTACCAAATTTCTATTTCTAATTGACACAAACTACCTCTGTTCCAGTGTATTCATCCCGTTTGACTTTTTCGAGTCAAACTCGACAAATTTTAGATCTCAATTAAATAAAAAGTGCATTATATTTTAGTATAAAAATTATTTCAATAGATTAATCTTGTTGGGAACTATTAAATATTTAACTTATTGTATCAATATGTTACAAATTACGAGTAATTGATAATTGAAGTTCATCTTGTTTGACTTGAAAAACTCAAACTGAACGAATACACTGGGGCAGATGAATTATTTTTCTAAAGTGTCATCATATTATCCTTAAAAACTCATTCATCAAATTAAACCTGACACCCCGGGTAATGACATGAGGTCCAGTTTTGGGTGTAAGTTAATTAGAGGCAGGGGTCGAGGAACGCTTACCTTAGACATTCACAAACCTCATGTCGGTATAGATTTTGTAACCTGTTGTAATCCATCTTCGCAAATCGGAGCAGACTCTCTTCTTGTACACCACTTTTCGAGGACTCTTGATCAAAATAAGTAATGAATTGGTGAACCCCATATCTTGGGATTTCCTTGTGGATGGGCATTCTCAAGGCATTTGCTATGTGGCTTCTAAGGTGGGGTGCAACAATAACTTCTTCCAATGGGCTATTGCCATTGGAAGACATTATTAAGGACTTGAGATGAAGCATGCTGAATTCTAGGGCTTCATCAAGTATGTCTTCATTGGGCAGACTTAAAAACGCAGCTTCATACATGCTTAGCAATCCCATTGCATCACTCGATAACGTTTCCTTGAATCTTCCATCGCCCCCCTTGAACTTCTGAAACACATCTGGCGATGACATAACACCAACAAATCAAGTTAAATTAATTATAATCCAGCTTAATATATTGCGTTGTATATATAATCTGATACAGAGTATATTAATAATCAAAGTATTGTGTTCCGTCCGTCTCTAAAACTCTTTTTCTTTGTCCTAAAATATATTTCTCCTGGCCTTTCTATTAAAAAATTATTTTTATCCAAACTAATTCTTATCCTAATTATCACATCATACATATTAACTAATTTAACTATCACATGGATCTTACTTTTACCATCACATCAAAAGTAATTTGTGAAAGCCGACACAAATATATACATTCCTTAAATCTCATAAAAGCTTAAATAAGAAGGAGATTTAGAGACAATGGAATTATTGCAGATTTGAAAATTGAAGTTAATTTTTGGGTTGAGTAGTAATTAACCATATTAATTCCAATTATGAGAAAAATATTACTCCGTATTAAAGATAAAACAAGGATATCAATCAAATTAGGGTGAAACTAAGATTTTTGTAAGTAAATTGTTCAATATTTATGATGAAAGGATCTATCCTGAGAAATTTAAAATAAACTCTACTTTTTAAATACATCAAACAAATTTAGAACGCAATATATAATGAGTCACAAGCGGTTAGTGTATATATGTTTTAGTTCATCAAAATATACACTTACCACATGACATTTCATAACCATGTTGGCGAAAGACTCGAAACATCATAGCCACAGTGAAGAGGTCATGATTGTGAAGAATAACCTTAGTAGCTTCACCACTTTCAAACATTTGATTGAGTAGAAATTCTATGTCTTCCTCAAAATGGTAGGAGAGACCGAGTCGAGTAATTACGTCAATTACTCGGACAGTCTCTGCAACGTCTGGTGATGCTGCTGTTGCCATTAACATTGCATTCACTTCCCTTTTCAACAATTGTATCTCTTTATTGTATGATTCCAGCACCTGCATTACATGCATTATTACATCTTATTGCACGTATGTAGAGGCATTCTTTTGACAACAACCCTTGTTGTCATAATATGACAACCCCTACGGTACCCTGTTTGAAAAATTGATGGTTCCCACCTCTGCCCCACCCAAAATTGTCGATTGGCTACAGTATTATTATTATTATCATTATTAAAGTTTTTTTTATATATATACTCCGCATATATAAAAAAATATAAGGCTAAGGATGTGCATGTTTCGGGGAAAAATATTTTTGTAGGAAAAACCTTTTCAAAGGAAAATTATTTTTCAATCATATTTTTTTTGTTGTTTGGTTGGAAAGAAAATATTTTATTTAAAAGTAGTTTCTTTTATTAATATTTAAAAATTAAAACTCTAAACTTACCAATTCTACGTTTTAAATTCTAAGGAGTATAACACAAGAAAAAGAATTTGAAATTCACGATTTGAATTCTACGAGTCAAAATGAAATCACGCGAATCCTTTTCGGGTCATAAGAATGAAACGGGTCTTATAGACTTTGGTTGTGCTTGGAAAATGAAAATTTTAAAATTAAAATAAAAAATAAAAAATATAGATATAAGATATAAGATTTAAAATGAGTATAAACTTTAAAATTTAAAGTTAAAGATTAAAAACAAAAAACTAAAATTTAGAAATTAAAATTTTAAAAACTACTCCCTCCGTCCCATTAAGTGTTACACATTCTGACTATTAAGCAAAATAAGGAAAGCATATTTTTCCATTGACCTCCCCGTATTACCCCTTACCCTAATGTAAAAGTACTCCATGAATAGTGTAAAGCAAGTGAAGTACACATACTAGTATAATAGTGGGTGGGGTTTGAGTGTTGGGTAGATATTAGGTTTAAGGGTAGAAATGTTCTTTTTAGGAAAAAGTGTAGTTTTTTATGAGACAAAAAATTTATGAAACGTGTAAATATTTTTGGGACGGAGGGAGTAAAAGCTAACCATTAAAAGTTAAAAAATAAAAATTTAAGGTTTAAAATTTAAACATTAAAATTAAAAATCTTAAAGTTAAAACTATTTTAGCGTCAATGTGAAGTTACACTTTTAACCTTCAAATTAACACTAACATAACCGAAGGTTAAAAAATGATTATTCGTGGAAATGTACTCATTAAAGAAGAACCACGAACATATTATTTAACAATAGAAGACTAAATATGGAAAATCTCATATTGTAAAGAATCAATTATAGAATAATATTTGACCAATGAAATTTCTTAAAATATATCAGCAAAAAGTTACTCCATCCGTCCTAAAACTTTCTTCCCGTTGCGCAAAACAAAGAAAAATCCCAAGTTTTTTCAATCTATTTTATTTAAATATTGGTACAGAAATAAAAAATAAAACATATTTAAAAACTACATCAAAAGTTCAACAAAACAAGTAGTGACAAGAATATTTTATTTTATCATATAGGCCATGAAAAAACACAAATAAATATAAATTCCCGTGAAGTTGGAATAGTGCTCTGGGAAGAAAGTTTTAGGACGGAGGGAGTATTAAAAATAATACATTAAAACTATGTTTATTTCGATACCAATAATTTGGGATGGTAGAGTTTTTATATTTTATTAATTGAGTATTTATATACTCCCTCCGTCCCTGAAAACCTTTCTCCTGTTTTTTTTCATCCGTTCCAAAAAACACTTCTCATTTTTATTAAAAAGTCACTTTTACCCCTTACTTTTTCATACCCTACCTATCACATCATACCTTTTTACTACTCCCTTCGTCCCAAAAAGATCTTCCTGTTTTATTTTTTGCGCATCCTATAAAACACTTCTACACACATCTAAAATGCTTAAAATTTACCATGTTTCTCATTTATTGTGGGTAGAAGTTGTTTTGAAAGTTTTTTTTTGCATTTGAGGCAGGATAGAAGTGTTTTATGAAATGTGCAAAAAATGAAACAGGAAGATCTTTTTGGGACGGAAGGAGTAATAATCTATCCATCAAATCATACTTTTACCCATCACATCAAAAGACATTTTTGGAAATTCAATACCAAAATACACTCCCCTTAAATCCCTCTTCAAAATCAAAACTCCCATGTTTTCCTGGACGGAAGGAGTATATAATTTGTCAAATATTTGGCACACAAAGTGAAACAGAGAGTTAATCACAAAGTGAAGAGTGGAATCAAGTAGCTCACCAAGGGAGATAGAAGATTGGAAGAAAAGATTTCAACACTCCTCCATGGTGAGGGGGTAAAGATTTCCAAGGGGCGTTGAGAATCCTCTACTTCTACTTCTTCTTCTTCTTCTTCAACGTCACCGATAACCGCGACGTTCGATGCACTTGCCACATAATTATTATAAGTGCTTAACGGACGACGGCGAGACGATTCTCTAACTATTTTACTCAGGAAAACCTGTGGGTGCTTTTGGGGTTTTGGTGATAATAATATGGGGAAATGGTGGGAACATTTTATTGAAGGGAGAAGGGCATGCAGAGCCATGTATGGTAATTACTATAATATTGAAAGTAATTAACTATTGGAGAGCTTGAGTTTATTATATTGATGAATATAATATAATACTCTTTAATAACAGAAGATATAAAACAAAGAACTGGAAGTAGTTTATATATGTGTGTGTGTGTGTGTGTGTGTGTGAGTGATCGGCAGAAGTCTTTGACAGACTGGAATTTGAGGCACGCCCATGCATTGAGACAAATACTCTACGTACTTCTTTCTTTTTACACGTACTTTGTTTCAATTCATTTGAACACAAGAAATTCAAGGAAAAATTTCCTTTGGTTCACATTATATATTTAAGCTAAATTGCATTGTTAGTCTTTCAACTTAATGTATCGTTTAACTCTAAAAATTATACGAAAATTACTTCAAGTCACATTACCATGGTATAGTTGATCCTTTCGTTAACTTTATCGTTTGTTATAAATGCATGTAAGGAACTTACCTTTTTCATACAATTAAGTCATAGTTCACGCAGATTTAT